TTATTACTTGTATATGAATTTATACCGACACGATATATACTCAGATAACGATAGTTCCACTATTGCACGAGTAAATAAAGCAACTTGTTTTTGTATCTGTCCGAGACTAAAGTAGAGATTCAAGTAGAGACCAACCTTATTAGCTTATGGAATTATAAGAACTGGAATTAAAATAAATTCATATTAAACCATTTATATGGATTCCTTCACATATACTTAAAAAGTTTAGTCTCACTTCTTTGTTAAGCTCTCTACCTATACCTACATACGGGCTTTAAATACTCTACCTGTTTACGGGTATCAATCAATTGCAGCCCCCGGCGAGTAGAGCAGCGCCTGCAGCCCATCCGCAAATATTTCCGTCGCCTGGGCGAATGTCGAACACATGTCGAGAGGCGCAAGGCATCGGCAAACAAAATGGAAAAAATGTTTATGTGAAAAACAAAAATGAAAAATAAAACAGGAAATATGTCGCGCAACAAGGAAAATATGTCGCCTGCCGAAGGAGAATAAAAGAGAGTGAGAGTGAGAGAGAGAGAGAGAGGTAGAGAGAGGGCGTGTGCGAGCAGAAGATGAGAAGAAAGAAGAAAAGGTGAGCAGACAGGCAAAGTTCCAACTCATTTTGCAGAAATGCCGATTCATTTGGCGCGCCAAGTGCCAAATATTCAGCATGCCCCAAATATTTGCCCGGCTGAGCAGCAGAAGCTGTTTATTTATATATTTTTTCTTTTCCTTTTTGCTCTTCTTTTGTGGGGCAGCAGATGGGTACGGCGACGGTTCGAGTTGGAAAATCGCTCATACGCAACGTTGGCGCTGCCTCCAATTGCCTTTTTGATGGTTCATTAAAAATTGCTCGTCTATTGCACAATCGGACCGGGCCGACCTTCATAATAAATGGCGTACAGGTGTCGATGGCTGCAAATAAATGTTGCTTCCAGCCGTATACGTTGCCGCCGCCGGCTCTCGTATGGGCGTGGCCCCGACCAAAATTAATGTCTGCAGCAGGCATAAATAAATTGCAATATAAATTTCAGCTGGCATAGAATTTAAGCTGCACTTTAATTGCAGACATTACAAATGGATTTACTGGGAAATATGATTAACAATAACAGAGCCTGAAGGACAATCAGACACACGTGTTCGGAGCATACCCTGTAAACGATTACAGTGGGTTTGACAGTTAGCTAAGAAGAGGACTACGGGATGTTACATTTAATGACATGTGATTATAGCTTAAGTCCGATTCTAATTGATTCTAATTGCCTAAATTAGGATTGTTAAAATTACAATTCTATACTAGATATTCGAGTAGGGAACTAGGTAATGGGTACCGGCCAGTCAGCTGCCGAGACAAAGCACTCGAGCTTCTTTCTTATTCATTTATATGCCGCTCACGCAGGAAAGGTGCCTTGGTCCAATTTTTATTTCATTTTTGTTGTGTTTCATATCTAATTTTACAAACATTCTTTCTTCCCCGAAACTCAATTACATGGAGAGTTGGTGTTGCGGGGGCGGCACACGCCAGGTAATTGCTTGAAAATTGAAGAACGAGCGTGGGTGTGAAAGAGACAAAGAGAGAGAGAGAGAGGGAGAGAAAATGAGGGAGGTTGAGCGGAGTTTGGTAGAACTTCGTAAAAAGTAAAAACTTTCCGGTTCGGCATGCTTGCGTCTCGCATTACGACAGGATAATGAAAATCAAGAGGAATACAAGAGGCGGACGCAACGGAGCCGCCTAAAATTAGCAGCGACTGCTGCAATTACGCCAAAAACTTTGCCAACAAATGTCGAAGGGAATGTTAATGACTCGAAGTCGGTTTGAAGAATGCCACAGGTTGACAAACACGCCACCCAGCTGCGACTTGCCACTCAATCTGGAGTGCCTGCGCTGGCCCCGCCGTCCAGCACCTCCACAATCCAAGCCCTCTCCCTCACCCCCCTGCGAACGGAAATGGCGTAACAGCGCGAGAGGCGCCAGCTAAAATGGCTGTTTGTTTGCTTCCGGTGTGTGCAAACAAGGCAAACACATTACGCTTCAAGTGGGCAACGCCTGCCACACCCCCTGTTCGCCTGCAGCCCCCTTGGCACCGCTTGGCGTGTTTACCTTATGCAGGAGGCAAAAACGCAGTTGCTTTGACAGCAGGTGGAAACACGGCACAGCGGCTGACGGTGCCGGGGTGGGCACTACCACTACCGCAGAGTCAAATGGTAAATGGCAAACCGCGTGGTGCGCATTTCAAATGCCTGGTTCAACTTAATAATTCATAAAAATTTATGCGAAATAGACAACATTTGTGCTCGTGTCTGTTTTTCGGTGTCAGTTCGAGAGCTTTGACTGCCTCCTCCTCCCTCACCTGCTCCTGCTGGCAACGACTGGCAGCAACAGCCGCATTGTTCGCAACACGGCAGCTGTTTCTATTTTGTTTCGTGTTTGAGGGCGACAGCATCAAGTTGCATATTTTAATATACCCTGTAAATGTAAAATATACAATGTTTGATGTGCTGAAAAACTTAGGCGATCTTTTGCAATGTGATTTAAGGCTGATGGTCTTGGCTCAAATTTGTCATCTTACTAGCCAAAATTAATATTTTTTTATTTTTATAAATATATTATATGAATACCATATTATATATAGCTTCATCAATGCAGCATCAGAGACGCGTTCATTTCTAACTAAAGGATATCTTACCGTCATACACTCTCAATAAACAAGCTTCGTATTTCATTTCATTTCATTTTATTACATATATTCTCTTTTTTGTTTTGAAAAATGTAGCTCGGTTGCACTAATACTTAAAATAAAAGTGAGGTAGAGCTGTCATATCCATTTAGATATATCATATATTCAGGAATATGTCCATACATGTATATACATATACATACATACATATTATATGTGTATATACATATATATATTGAAGTACTCATACCTCTACGGTATTCATAAGCTGCTTTTCAGCGTTTATTTTAGTGAAAAAATTGCGTAGGAAAGCCATGAAGTCTGCCTTTTCACACATATACAGCAGACGAAAAAATTAATAAAAAATATATATACAATAATGTGTATACAATATATATACTTGTAACTATATATCCTTTATATTTATTTTTGCATATTTTACAACTTTAAGCTCTGGCAGCTCTGCTTTATCTGATGGTTGACATTTTTCATTATCGAAAGATCTGCATCAGAGCAAGGCTTGCAAATTGTTTATGTTGTTTTTATCAACATCATGATTCTTAGTGAGGATTATACAGCATTTTTGCGGGAATTGAGGGAAAATAACTATTTGTTGGGCTTTATGGTATGGTAGAGTCGTTGGTGATTACGACCTATTTGCCTAAATTATATTTTAACACTTGTTTTATATCATTAAATATTAAATAAAATCAGTTTAATGTAAATAATATAATATAAATTCAGTTTTTTAGTCATATCCAAATATTTTTATGCATAACAAGTAGAAAAACTCGAGACTGCTCGACTACGAAATCCTCTGAGCCCGAGGAACCGATATATCAATAATTATTCACGTGAGTTATAATAAATATCGAAATTCTATAAAGTATAAATAAATGCACAAAGATGTAGTTAAGGCAGCTGCATGACAAAAGCTAAATGCTACGATACACGATGGAAGGTACATTAATGAGACTTGTGGAAACATTTATCAATTTATTATAATTGAATAATTTGCTCGTTCAGAAAAAAGCATAGCCCCATGAAGGCCTCTGAAACTGTGGGCCAACAAGAGCTCGTTTTTTCCAGTGAATGTGGCAAAAACAAAACATGAAGCTTGAGTTAGGGCAGCTGCCTGACAAAAGCTGACTGCTACAAGACTCGATGTAAGGTACATCAATGCCAAAGACTGTATAATATGAATTCAATGCTCATGAAATAGAAAACTTATTCATGATTTAAATAAGTATAAATACTCTTAGTTTAGATCTTGTACCGAATTTATGGCAGGAGCTAGATGTTCTGCGACTGAATGACAGAAGCTGAATGAAATGACACTCGATGGATGGTACCACTAACCAGACAGTCACTGATGGTCAGTGATGGTAAATCTATGAAACATGTGGAAATATTGATCAGGATTTGCACGCTGAATGAAGGGTATAGCCTTATAAATGATTTGTTAATCATGTGCTCATAATCATAAACTGTGCTCAAAAACAAAACTTTAAACTTGAGTTATGGCGGATGCATGACAAAAGCTGAATGCTACGAGACTCACTGGAAGGTGCTTAATATAAATTGAGGACATATTGATAATAATTTGCTCAGTCAGCAAAAGGGCATAGTCCCATGAATGCTTCTGAAACTGTGGGCCTTCTATTCTAGTGAATGTGAGAAACACACTTGTAAGTAAACACTTGAAAGTAAAGTGAAAGCAGCTGCCTGACAAAAGCTGAATGCTACAAGACTCGATGCCAGGTACATCAATGCCAGAGACTCTATAATATGAAGCTTGTGGAAAAATGTATCCTCATTACTCACGAAAAGGAAAACAGAATCACAGAAATATAAATGCTCTTAATTAAGGTCTTCTAGCGGATTTATGGCAGATGTTAAATGCGATGAGGCTGCATGACAGAGGCTGAATGATATGACACTCAACGGGTAGTCTATTTATTAAACTTTCAGAATAAAACATTACAATAGATGATAGATGAAATATATTGCTTGATGCTCCCATTGTGGTTTGCTCTTTAGTTTGCGGATTATTGAGCCTATTTAAGATATACAATATTTTTGGCCAAGAAATATTTCCGCATTTCAAATACATGTGCCCTCTCATACATATTAAATATATTATAATGTGATTTTTTGTTCAGGAGCTACCCTTAGCATTTCAAATCCCTTTGACTGCCAAGTCACATAATTGCAAAAGGGTAATCGGCTTATCGTTTCCGAAAGAAAGAACATCAATTTCGTTTTCATTATTTTCAAATTTGCAATGCCTGATGCGATTATCAAGTGTATCGAAATTCCTGGAAATTGTAAGGAAACCCAGCAAACCGAATATTACTGTCAATAATTCAGTAGCCCAGTTTGAGGAGGAAGTTTCTTACATGTACAATAATGGTCAAAATTTTCGTTCGATTGCTGTGGAAGATGCTGCGCGTCCTCATCTGGGTGGAGCAGCTGGTCTGGCGCTGCGTCCGTCTGCATCGTGTCCGAATCGTGCAAGTCGTCCATCCTCTGTCCGCTGCTCTAATGCTACTAACTGTTGGATTCTTTGTTACTTACGAAATGTTTTACATCCTGCCCGAGTGCTGCGACGTCTCGGGCATCTACTACAAGCTACACTGCCTGCTAATACTGTTCTTCATCCACAACATCGTTGGCAATATGTGCAAGTGCTGGCTGACGGACACCAGCTTCGTGGGCCTGCCGCCCGACCGCTGGAATCCCCTGCCGGCGGAGGCGCCGCTGTGGCACCTGTGCACCTTCTGCCAGATGCTGGTGCCGCCGAGGGCGTGGCACTGCCGGCTCTGCAACTGCTGCATACTGAAGCGGGATCATCACTGCAATGTGGTGGCCAATTGCATCGGGCATGCGAACCAGCGCTACTTCGTGGCCTTCCTCCTGCACTTGTCCCTGGGCAGCTGCACCGCCCTGGTCTACAATGTCTACCACATGTTCAGCCAGAAGGCCCGCCTGAGCGACCCCATTGACTTCGTGAGCATGTCCATGGGCCTGGGCCAAACAGAGCGCGCATATAACCTATTCAAGAACCAGACTCTCAGCCCGCACGTCAGCTGGCTGATCATCACCGGCGGCATACTCAAGCTGACCATATTTGCCACGGTGCTGGCCACGACGCATCTGGTCATGCAGCTGGTGATGGTGTGCCGCGGCAGCTGCATGTACTATGTAAAGGATCGCAGCTACGACCTGGGACTGTGGAATAATCTGCGAAACGTTTTGGGCAAGCGAGTGCTGTGGATTGCGCTCTCACCCTTTGTGTCCAGCCCCTTGCCCCACGACGGGGTCCAGTGGCTGGTGCCCAGCCAGCTCAGCGGCAGGAAGCCTGTATAAATGTGAGCGTCGGTCTACGTCATCCCATGTGAATACACACACACACACATAATATATGCGCAATTATTTTATGCCTTGGCCAAAATCGAGTTTCATGCCTCATTTAATCAGCCAATTCGTGCTCGCATTGGCTCCGTTAATTACCGGTCAAATTTGGCACGGCGCTAGGGCACGTGGTGCAGCCACGCGGCAGCCCTCTGTCTGGCAGAGATACTCATCTGCTCAATCTTGTGGCAGTTCTCATGAATGCTTCACCAGTCTGTCTCTTCGAGTGAACAAATAAATGCGTATTTTGGTCTTTATCACCTTCACTGTTATCATAGGAATTTGTTTTTCTCAGTCGGCATTGTTTTTGTTGCAATCATTATAATATATGGTATTGATATGAAGGAATATTAGTCACAAAATAAAATGAAAAAGCTGAGGTATAAATATTTCGATTTGTATTAAATTTTATTTTAATTTGTATCATTATCATAATTGCATCATCATTGCACTATGTTAATCATCTTTAGCACTATCATCCACATAATCATCAACACTATCATGGGAACGTAAGAGTATGCCAGATGCAATGCAACTCTGATCACATTCGCTCATCCTTCTGGTTTCATTTGCATACAATTTGGTCACAGCTGAGGCGGAAGGAATGAGACAGATTGTTAAAGGACATTCTGGCAGATATTGACGTGGCCATGCTGGGACTGGGCGTGGTACTGGGACTGGGCACGACTGCACCTTTTGCCACCTTTCTGGCGCAGTCGGAAACACTTGTCAAGTGTCAAAAAATCCCAAAAACTGTTGAAAAATGACAAAGCCAGCTGAGAGTTGGTAGAGCGGCAGAGGGGCAAAGGGGCAGCAAGAACTCGGACTGAATTAATGATACTGCATGTCACTGACAAGCCTCGAAACATGAAATCAAAGTCCACACTCTTAAAAGTGCTGCGAGCGGCGTTGCCTTCGCCGTTGCCGTTGCCGTTGCTGTTGCCGTTGCCGTTGCCGTTGCATGAAAAATGTTCGAGGTGTGAAAAGCGTGGCGAAAGTCTAAACAACATAATTGCCGAAATAAAAAAGTCGACGCCGCCTCTAAGCTTGACCATTAATCAAAATTGCGGCCCACAGCCAGCGGGAAATGTGGCCGGAAAACTGGCAAAAACAAATAGCAGCTGCTGACGCCAATGGACTTCCACTCAACTCCGGCCAACTGGCCCACAGGCTGCACTGTGTGAAATATGCGGCTTGAATACTTTGGGCCAATCAGCCAATCGCAGCAGAGCTTTGTCATGCCCCAACTGCTGCTCCCCCTGTCCAAGGACTGGCAACAGCTTATCTCAACGGGATTTAGCTTTCGTTATCAGCTTCAGCTTCAGCTTTAGCTCTTGCTCCTAATCCTGCTCCCGCCAACGAAATGGCCAGCCCTGATTGCAATCTTCTCAATTGTCGATTGTCAATTCACAATTGTCAACTTCCGCTCGCTGTGCAGCGGCGTCTGCTACGTGCTCCTGGACAGTTTCCCTTAAAAGTGGAAGCAAACTAACCAGGCTCAAGAAAAGAAGAAGCAACTGCCCTCACATTAGCAGCCAAATAATCATTACAGGTCGAGCTGGACAGAGCAGTAAGACAGAGAGAGAGAGATCGAGGACCTCTCTCTCTCTCTCTCATCTGTTGTGAATATTTGAATGTATCGTCAACATTGTCCGAATGACAAAAGGGAAAACCTTGCATCAGAAATGCGAGGCGAACTTTAAACTGCGGGCCTTTTCCTGCTGTCCCACATAGGGGACGCATTCCAAGAGCGGGAGCAGCAGGAGGAGCAGATGGCTGCCACGTTGAGGCCTGGCTGGTTGCCTGCCTGCCTGCCTGCCTGCCTGCCTGCCTGCCTGCCTGCCTGCCTGCCTGCCCGCCTAGCTGGTTGGTTGGCCTCAACTTTGGCCTTTCGTTTCGTTTGCAGTGCTAAATTTACCGCTAAGCGACGACTGCACAAAGGACATGACAAACAGACGAAACGGAGCAGGAGATAAAGAGAAAGGCGGAGAGACAGCGCTGCTGCTGTCCAGGATCATGGGGGTCATTGTAATCATAACGGTAATGTTGATGTTGCCCCACGCTCTTCCCAAATGTGTGTGTGTGTGTGCGGGCAACGCATTTGAAAAATGTAAACGAAAAACAAAAAAAAAAGTTCGCTGCTAAATTAGTGCAAATGGTGCTTGTGCCATGGCATCCATACAGGATGTCTCCACAGGGTGCCTCTGCTGCGCCTGCTTGATTAAGTTATCTCGGGAAACTATTGCGTTTATGAAGTCCACTGCCTTGGTTCCTGTCCCCAATCATATCGAGCAATTTTGGCAGCCAAACAAAAGCAATTGACTGAAGTTTCCTTCGTTTGTTGCCTCCAGTTGCTGCCTTTCTCTGCTGCTGCTGCTGCTGCTGCTTCATGTTAGCGGCTGCGACGTCCACTGCGCTGCACGCGTCGCTGCTCGCCTGCTACTGTTGAGCAAATAGAAAACCAGCCGCCGACAGTGAGCAGCAGAGCAGCAGAGCCCGCGCGACAGATTCTCTGATTTTTCGTTTGCTTTTTGCAATTATTTCCCCTGCGGATTGTAACAGAGAATCGTCAGAGTTTTTGCTGTTGTTCTGAGGGTTGCTGTTAAGCTTAGCACCTATCTACTCTCTCCCCTCTTGCGCTCTGCAGCCCTCTATTTCACACATTGCACGCTTGGCTGGGCCGCATTAGACACGAGCATTATCATCCACATGCCGAACGGCTTCCACAGCGCGCGGAGCGTGCGCATCGTTAGAGATGTGGTAGTACCCCAACTCCACCCACTTGGCCACACCCCCGCTCCCCGCTCCAGAGCGACTAATCCCGTATTGGTTGTGACAGTTGCAAGTTAGACAAACAACTGACAGTTCCAGGCGACAACTTATCACTTTCCACCTAATTGATATCAGTATCAGTTTCAGTTTCAGTTTCACTTTCGGTTTCGGTTTCGGCTGTAAAAAGTTTTCCTCCACCTCTGAGTGCCGGCTGCTGGTGAAGGCCCTCGGTGAAGTGCGTTCCATTTGAATCCGCTTAAAGCAAAGTGAACTCATAAATTATTGATTTGATTATGTCACCCCATTTGACCAGCAGCTGCTGCTGGCCAAAAGTATTTTGCCTTTCGCTCTTAAGCATTTATAAAGGATCAACAAGCGATTACGTCCGTCTGGCACTCAGCTGCCTGCGTGGGCCATGGGAAAGGCACTCCGAACAAACAACAAAGTGCTGACGGATTAACTGCCATATCAACAGCCTTGAACAGAGCATAGCTAACAGAGACGTCCTTTCCTCCCTCCGTCCGTCCGTCCATTCGTCGGTTCGCCTGTGTAGAGATACAATTGGACCGCATCTACATATAGCTCTACCTGTATCTGTTTGTGTGCGGCTTTGAATGCATTATAAATGATGACCGACAAAAACTGGTCGCCATTCGTTTTATTGGCCATTTGCATGCATTGCAGAGCCGGGATGCTATTTATAAGCATGGCCACCAGTGCACTGAGAAAATTTGTTGGGTACATAAAATTCAATTGTTCATGAAAATGTTGATCAAATATCCATTTTATCATTAGAGTAGTATAATAATAATAAAAGTAATGCAGATATTAAATTTGAATATGCAAGTAAAATGCGGAAAAGTTAATGAGACAAATAGAGAGAAAAAGAGAGAGAGAGATAGAGAGAGAGAGAGAGAGAGAGAGAGAGAGAGAGAGACGAAAAGTATTCATGAGAAGAAGAGATTGAGCAGGAGAGTAAGAAAGGCTTAGAAAAAGGGATAGTGGCAGAGATGAAATGAGAGAGAATAAGAGTCTGAAACTAAAATGAAGACACAAATAGTGGAGCAGAATGAAATGACTACAGAGAAATCGAGAAAAAATACATAAATAGTTTAACAGAAACAGAGACTGAGTTAGAAAAAAGAGATAGAGAGAGAGAAAGGGGAGAGAGCGATTTTTAGAGAGTGTGAGTCACAGAGAAAACTCAAATCAGAGCGAGATATATGTAGAAAGATAAATACGCATTTATATAGTTTGCTGGCAACAGACCCTGAAAGCAAACGAGAGTAGATATATATATTTCCTTTTATTATTATTTACATATTTGAGCAGATATCTAATGCTAATCTAATACTTTTAAAGGAGAATATATTCTCAGCATAGACTTCATACATAAGTACTCCCATGTACATATATATAATTATAGCTTTACTGTCCAGTTCTGAGTCAACTAACCAATATTTTTGTCTGAGCGTATTTAGCCGAGCGACCTTCAGAATGTTAACTGCTTAGCTACCTTTGCCAATTTCGTGTTTTTCGTCTGCTGCCTTTTGCCAGCTGTATTTCGTTTTCTTTTCTTTTTTATGTTTTATCTTATTTTGTTATTTTTCGGGGCTGGATTTTCTTGAGCACATTATGTGGCATTTGTGTGCCTGCCACGTCAACAGCAGCATCCAGCAGCAGCAGCAGGAGCAGCAGGAGTAGTAGGAGCAGCAGCATCATCGCCATCATCATCAACGTCAACGTGTGGCGCGTGCCTTCACTTGAGGATTTCTATCTGATTTGGCAAGGTCCTTCAATGCCTCCTATTCCGAACGATAATTAAAGCGCCAGGTCCTCCATGTTGTGCATATTTTCCAGTTATCTTGGGTGGCGCTCTGTTGCCGCAGCTCCCTGGGAACGTGTTAATCATTTGGTCCTGGTGCACGTTTTGCCCTGGTTGCCATGGGTCATTTGATGGCCGAAACATCTACACCCTTACCGAACTCCTGCGCCGCGGTGAATGCTTTTTGGCTTTTATTTATTTGTTTGCCTTTCTGTTGACAGCAATTTAAACGCTTCAATGGACTCGCCGCCTGACAGAGCGCAAAAGGGTTCTGGGCACTGCGCAAACAAGTTTCACCTCGTAAATTAATTTCCCCCAAAAACACAGCACAAGATACAAATTACTGGAGCGGGCTGAGACGGGCAGCTTGTCTGCCCAAGAAAATACAGCTGCCACAAGCAAAGGTCAGGTTTCGGCTTTACAAATTTCCTTAGCACGGCTTT